GCCCCAGCCCAGCTCTCTCAGCCTGGCTCCAGAGCAGAGCTGCTCCAGCCCTCGCAGCAGCTCCGGGGCCTCCTCTGGCCTCGCTCCAACAGCTCCACATCCATCTTGTGCTGTTTCCCAGAGCTGGATCAGAGCTGCAGGGGAGTTCACCTGGTCCATGCCTGGGGAGATGCTCCAGCCCCAGGCAAGGTGCTGGGCTGTCCCCTGCCATACCGCTGGTGGTGTGGAGCAGGGTTGGGGTGGAAAATGAGCCTGGATCCGCTCCCAGGCAGGGCTGTGGGTGCAGCGGGTGCTGACAGGGGCTGTGCTGGGCATGGTAACCCAACACTGCTGTGCCGGGGGGGGACAAGCTCCGCTCCCCACCTGCTTCTACCTGTCCCTGTGCTCCAGGCAGAGTTCCCAGAACAAGGGGCCCTTGTCTCCACCACAATGCCCCCGTTCTGGCCTGGGCACGTGGTGGCCGGGCTGGCGGCCGCAAGGGGTCTCTGACGGGCTCTTGCATGCCAGGGTGAATGGGAGCCTGTTCCCCTCCCGTGGGCTCCCACCTCCTGCCCACCAGACTCCGACCCTGCCTGGCCGCAGCCCCACATCCCCTCCAGGGCTGGGTCTGCTCTGCCTGGCTCAGGACACCCTGGAATTCTCGGGAGGGAACCCTCTACCTCTGCCCCTCCGCGTTCCTCAGCTGGCCCTATGGCAGAGAGGATCCCAAACATCTCAAGCGTCGCCAGATTCCAGTTATCGATTACTTCTCCAGTCCCACTGGCCTGCCCAGCTTGTCCCAGCCCTATTGTCTTTGGGCTTGGGAAGGGTGGCATGGTGGGAAGAGCTGTGGAGGTCTCAGCAGGGTCCCCCTGAGGCTGCAGGTTTTGGTACATGGGGGTCCTGGTGGTGGGCCCCACCAGGAGAAGGCAGCTGCTGCCTGCACAGACCCTGTGCTTTGCCAGTCCTCTGCAGAAGGACATACAGATGGGTCGGGGTGGAGGGAGGTGATGTGGTCCTACCCTGTGGCTCTCACACTTGGCGGGGGTCTTGGGGTGTTCCTGGCTGATCCCCCCCGGCTCTTTCCCACAGCCTGCTGCAGCCGGAGCCGCTGGTCCTGGATCCACTGGGGACGTCGCGCCAGGCCAGCAGCCGCAGATGGGCCCTTGGAGGTGGCTCTAAGCCCTTCAAGCTTTCCACCGCTGAGCTGAAGGAGCCCAAGCCCAGCAGGAAGCCGGTAACCATAGAGTCATAGAATGGTTTGGGTTAGAAAGGCCCGTAGGA